GTGTTCATAGAGGGGGTAAATTAATATACCAAATCCAGTCGATAAGTAAAGTAAAGTAAATTACACTTTTATTTGTCCCAGAAGGGCACTTTGTTTTACAATGGCAAAAAAAACAAAACATAAATACATAATTATAAATATGTACATACACAAATACATGCATGCATAAATACATACATAAATACACACTATTACACAAATACAGAACAGTTTACAAACAATGCCACTGCCGGCCGCCACTGTGCAGCGCCCTGTAATTTGAGCTAGGGTTGTCGTGTCTTGCTCAAGGACACACTCCAGTGACCACCCATCTGATCCCTGTGTCACCGACACTTGCTTGGCATTGCTTGGGTCAAAACTCACTACTCACTTAGCCACTGGAGCCAATAAACTAGGATTCTAGAAAATCTTCTTCTGTTCTTTTGTATTGCCCTTTCAAGAATGTAAAGTCCTTTTTAGTGACGGGTCCTCTGATTTAATGTTTGTCTCCCAAAGGACAAAGCCAAATGAATGGAAAGCCATGAAGCCTCCAAACAAGCCAGGGTAAAAAATGAAAGGTTGCAGACTTGAACCAGGGTCATTTGCATTGTTGTTAGGTTCTTGTCATATGACAGTGTAGGTTTAATATCTGCTTTAATACCCTGGGGTTACTATCCATTGCCAGCAAGATTAGCCAAACCAATTGAGAGCAATGCAAACTCCTTAAATAACTCAAGCCCTATCAGAGATTATAACTGGAGTCACTGACACCAGACCAACAAACAGACCCTAGAATCATCATGCCCGTTATCTTAAAATGGCTAGTTTGACTCCCAAACTATTTTTAAAAAACACCCCCCTCCCTCTTTCTTGAAGCCAACTATACATTAAGTTGTAACATTTTTTCACTAATTTCTAAAAAAGATTTAATGCTTATGCAGTTCTGCCTAAAAAGTAAAATAACATCCACCACCAAATCCAAAAAAAAGTATATGAAGGTTAAAAAAACAGACTGTTCAGTTAGAATATTATGGGGCAATGTCAGCAACATAAAACTACAGACAAACCTGCTCTCAACACCATCTTCCCAAGAACATCTTGAATAAAAATGACCACTTCCTACTTTTCCCCTTGTGTTTTTGACATCATATATTGACACTGTCCAAGATGACCACATGTCTTAGAAAACTGCTTTCCTCCTTAACAGTGGGTGGTCAATGTGGAAAGGTTCAGCTGTATTATCAAGTGACTTCACACACTCACCCTTAAACCCATCCTTTTTTAGTGGAAGGACAAATACATTGCAGAAAAAAATGTCAGATCTCTCAAGACAAGGCTTTATTTCAATATTAGTGGGAATGTCAGACATTAATTAACACAACTCTTAGTATACAGCAATATTCATGGCAGACACAGCACGATAAAATTACTCTATACATTGTAAACACAACAGTCGTTTGCAGTGTGCTGAGGTAAGAAGTCAGTCTAAAAAGCTGGCTTACCTGGGGCGACAGGATAATGTGACCGAACAAATCCTGATCCTGGAAAGAAGTATCAAAGCGAAAAGATCATTATAATCATCTTTCTTAAATGAAGGAGTATCTCTTCCTCAAATAAAAAAAATACTCTATTTAGAGGCACTCCACTTTCAGGATTTCCTGAACTTGATTGATTGCAATCAAAAAAGAGAAGTTAACACACTTTAAGTAAATAATTATGTTTTGTGAAATATTATACAGAAAAATTCCAATCTATAATTCTAAAATGTCAATGAAATAATGGTTATCCTGCACCCCTTCCTATACCTGAACACTAGTATTTCTAAAGGTGCTGTACTGAATTCTGAGCCTCTATAGTGTTGTAAAGTCCTGTAATAGCTGTTAAGCTTGTAAGAGAGGAGACAGAGAAGGAAAAGGCCACAGAATAGCCCCTGATCCCCATCAGCTTACCCACCACCAGTGTTTATATGCTATTTGAAAAGCTCGTTAGTCTGTCTATGCCCTAGTCAGCTCAACTTGACCTCAAATTTGAGACAAAATCAGCGAAATTTGTGATTGTGGTAAAATCCAAAGAAATTTGAGTATACAGCAAACTAGTATAAAAACATAGACCAAGAGAAAAATTCATACAGTAATTGTAAACTCATTCACTCAGGCGCACACTCATACTCATAGACACACACTCTCTTTCTCTTGCAAACACACAATCACACATAAACATAGACACACAGACATCATGCAAGAACAAGCAAACACAAATAATGAAATATCTGTAGTCTTCTTATAGAAACACATGGGCATGAGAGAAGAATCAGTTCTTACCACATATCAAGGCCAGTAGAAGACAGCTATGAAGACGCCCATACTTCATGATGACTTTTCATAAGATTTCCCTTCTTCTGACCTCTCTTGCCTTGCAGAAGAATCTGCTTCAGCAAAATGACAAAAAGCATTATCACAAAGTTTGTCTGATTGTTTCAGTTAAGAGAGAATTTATAAGTCTACTGACAAAACAACTGATATTTAGTACTGAGGAAAAAGCAAAAGAGAAAGACCTTAACCACAAAAGGATAGTACAGAAAAAAGGAATATCTCGTGGTCCTCCCTAACCACTTACTCTTACATCAACATAAACAAAAAATAAAAATATAAATCAGTGATCAACTAAGCAAGCATACACCCGGAGATCAAACAATATAAAAAGAAAAAGCCTCTTTTACTAGGAAGCTCCAGCGTATCTGAGATATTAGAGTATAATGATTATATCATGTGTCAGGACGCGGTGGAATCAGGAGCTCATCAATTTTTTGGCACATGAACTTATTGATACAGTGGAATCCTGTTATAACGAGAGGGAGGGGACGGAAGCAAAATGTCCGTTATAGCAGGATTCTCGCTATAAGGGATCCAGCAATAAATTCAAAGGAAACTGTGAAGTAGGCCTAATCTATGAGTTTGGTGTTCTGTTTTTCCTTTTGCTACCTCCCCTGATGATGATTTTGTTTCAACAGGACCTATGTCTTACTTGATCAAAAATCGAATCAGGTTTATTTCTCTAGCGCTAGATCTAGCGATGTGGACAGACAGCTCGGCGTTGGCGATCAGAAAGAAAGGGCTCTGGGATAACTCACCTGCTGTGTTTTCATCCCACCCCACCCTGTGGTGCATTCTGTCTGCTTGCGCACATCACACATTCGCTCCGTCCATCACATTACTGTGACCTCTCCATCCTCGCATCGGAGAAGTGAGAGGCATGGCAGGCCTTGATAATCTAAACTGGCCTATCACGCGATGCGTTCTGCTTGTCTGCGCATGCCACACCCTCCCTACTCAGTTGCTCCGGCCTTCATTGTTGACGCACATGGGCTCTCCTATTCTTTGTTTCGCAAGATCAGCAACAAGTTTCTCAAGAGGCGAGGTCTTGCATTATGTATAATTGGCCTATGCCATGTGCACAGAAGCAGCAATATTCCGCTATATCCGACTCGCAAGTGTGTCTGATAGCGCAATAGCAGTATTTTGTTTACAAAGGTAAAGAGCAGAAAAAAATGGGTTTTAGAATAGTGCCTTTATAACAGACTTCTCGTTTTTTCTGAACTCGTTATAAATTGACTCCACTGTATTATCTGAAAGCTGATACATTTGCCTTGCTTCCAATTAAATAAAAATCCATCATCTTCAATAGAAGTCAAGATTATATTTGCGAGAAAATGGCCGCGAAAGTTTGATAACGCCAATAGCTAACGTCCTTGAAAACTGAAAAATGACATATTTTGTGCCTTTAATTAATGTTTTTCGATAACATTCAAATAAAAATGTGTTTTTATATGGACATAAAAGTGGTTGAGCCAGATAATACAAATTCTATAAAATGTCCAAACTGGTGGGAAAATGCCTGTTTCTCTGATTTCGCTATTTTGATGAGCGACTGATTTCACTACGCTGCCTGTAGAAGAAGAAGAAGAAGAAGAAGAAGAAGAAGAAGAAGAAGAAAGAAGAAGAAGATGGAGGTACGGGCAAAAATCGACATTAGGGTAAAAAATGTTGATTTTCTATTGATGAAATATTCTTTAATTGTAACCTGTCTTTTATCATTTCATACTTATAAATTGTAAAATCTTCACAAACTTCACCTATAAGCACGATGTATCTACTACCTTGAGGCTTGAATCTGAGAAGTAACTCATTTTGTCAGCACGCCTCTCACAAATCGAGAAAACTGACATTTTTCTGTCCACTAGACAAATTTTATCGAATTTTTGCATTTTTGACTCAACACCTGTAAGGTCCATTTAAAAACATATTTCTTTATGGCTTTTATAGAAAAATGTTGATTCAGGGCACAAAAATGTAAATTCGGAGGTTCTATATTCATATAAAAAACTCTCAAGCATTGGAAATCCCTAAATTTTAGAGGTCATTTTCTTGCTAATTTTACCTCAAAAACCAGGCGACCCAACCTCCTTCAATCTCAAATATATTTTGACTTCAATCCATGATAGATGAGCATTTTTTTCACTGAAAGTAAGGCAAATGAACATGCTTTACAACGATACCATCAATAACTCCACATGTCCAAAAATTGACGAGAACCTGATTCTATCATGTCGTGACACGTATATGGTAAAAAAAAATAAATAACAGTTTACCTCATAAAGACACTTTTCATATATATATATAAAATACTGGCCCACTCAATGTACCAATCATTTTGAATGGGCCTACACATGCGTGTACCCCCACAAAAGGACACGCATACACAAAGGCAATCATAGTGCCTGTTGATCAAACTTGTCGGAAGAAAAGTACGCCTCGTTTAATTTCTCAACTTCAGTTTCTGTTAATCAAGGTGCAAAGTCTCCCCGTTCCGAAACCATAACAATTATGATCTTTGCTCTACTTTTTCTTTTGATATCTTAACTCTGCCACAAACGTTTTTCAACTCGCAGATTTTTTCTCAAAGTTGAGTCATCTACCTCTCACCAGACTGCCATCCAGGATTTGTTCGATCTCAAATACTTGTCTGTGTTCCTCACACATCTCTTGGTGTTTGCTGAAGGTTTGGCCTTCATTTTACAGCAACATATTTTTTAGGAGCATTTTTACCAGCATAGTTGTCCATGTCACATACATGTATTTGTATACTTGTGGGAACTCAAAACAAGGACTACTCATGAAAGGAGTGTAAGTATGAGTTCCTAAGTAATGCCCTCACTTCATAGATTATTTGCCTTATTTTGAATTCCATTTAATCTTTTCATGGTGTTCTACACAATCTGGGCAACCTAATCTGCAGTCTACTGTTGGTACACTGGACAGCACAGTAAACTGTGGCATGATCTCGAGCTACAGCAGTTATTAAATTTTTATAAATAAAAGCTTTATAAAGATGTTCACTGAGATGCAAGAACCAGAATGTCTAGACGTTTTCTTACCTTAGAATTACAAAGTTCTATGACATTTTTGGCCCTTTTGAGATACTAAGACCATAAGGTGAGAAACGTAATGTGAAACGACGTGGGGAATCAGGCGCTCGTCAATGCTGGGGCAAGTGGAGTTATTGGTATCATCTTTAAGCTTGTGGCTTGTTCATATATGTCTTGCATTCGATGCAAAATACCAAATCTATCTTGAGTAGAAGTCGAGATATTTCCGATTGAAGAAGGTAGTGGGTCAACTGATTTCATATTAAAATTTTCAAGAAAATGGCCTTCAAAGTTTGGTAACTTCCACAGCATGAGAGTCCTTTGGACCGGAAAGTACAGTTTATTTTGTGCCTTTAATAAAGAGTTTTTCAGTAAAATTCACACAGAATTGTGTTCTAAATAAACACAAAAAATGTTGAGCCCCAAAATGGAAATTTCATCAAAACTGCCAAACCAGCAGAAAAATTGTTTTCTTCAAATTTTGACGAGCGACTGATTTCACCAAAATGCCTCACAAACGTTCTAAATCTGCTCAACCAAAATCGTCAGATATTTGGAGTCATTATATTAAGATATTAAAGAATTGTTTTTGAAAAACCTTAACCTATCAAACTCAAAATTTTTTATGTTGACCTTCTCAAAACTAGGTAGGCCTACTGAGTACAAAAAACTGTAATTCGAATCTAAGGTATAGAATCTAGATCTAGAGAGCAGAAGATATGTCCATTTAAAAACGTATTTCTATGTGGAATTTTTTTTTAGGACTCTCAAGCTTTTGGAAATCACCAAACTTTGGCAGCCGTTTTCTCGCTAATTTTACCTCTGATTTAAGAGACTAGGCATAGACATACAAGCTGATCCTTATCTCTACTTTAACCTATCCAAGAATCATGAGAGTCAGGTTTTATTTGGGAGGACTTCCATAACGAGCTACCACTATGACTATGAGACAAAGTAGAAATAGAATAGAGTTTTTATAGAAGCAATAGAGGGGTAGATCTACATCTAGGGGTAGTCCGGGGTAGGGGTGGGGTTTGGGATGGGGTTAGGCTTAGGTCTGTTCTTTATTGTATTCGTTGGGATGGTGGTTCCTTACGGATGTCCTTCCTTTTATTTCCACAATATGAAGAGAGGATTAAAGATAAAATTTAAGCTATAAGATCAACTTGTTTGTCAACTCCGTCAAGAGTCAACAACAACAGCTTGGGTGATATAAACACTCAAGCCCAAGTCCAAGTCCAAGTATGACCACAAAGTGCAGCTTTCTGGACCAGTAATAGAATCTAGATCTAGAGGTCTAGTAACCCTTCACTGTACACAGATCACTTAGACTTACCTGCGTGTAGATTGCTCCAGCAACTGCGGTAAAAAGTACAGCTACAATTAAATTTGCGTCATCGCTCACATTTACACACCAACCCCATGTTTGCCTTCAATCTGAGCGACTATTGCCTTGTCCCACCCAATTCTTCTTTCCCCTGAGGGTAAGCCGGATGCAGTTGGTCTTGCCTAGCAGTTCGCATATCAGGTAGGCTATCCCTACCTTGACCTGAAGTCATTGCTAAAGTAAACAAAGCAACGCACGATTTGATGACGTCACGCAGGTGTGTGCACTCGGAGCTGAGCTGTGTGATAGACTGACTGCGATAAGATAGGCCAACAAGGAGTTTAGACAGTAATGCGCTGAGTCCCAATTTGTGCCCGGTCCAAACCAAGTGGAAAGTGGGGACATTTTGAGGACACTGCCCGTATGACAGAGCAGTTTAGGCCTATATTATATCTAGGAGGTAGCAAAGCAGCCTCTTGTTCACTCTCTCTCCTTACACAACTCAACCTCGCAGTGTAAAAATACCGAACTACATGTTGCCCAAGGACCTTAAGAAAAAAATGTAGGCCCCTATAACCTCCTTGATGTGGGCTATTGGTAGCCTACCGGATAAACAAAATGTGACACATAGGCAGATTAGATAAACGGTCATTATTATTCATAAAATGATGATTATATTGTGCAGCCTACACTACACTGCCCTCCTACCCTCTCTCTCTCTCTCTCTCTCTC